CCCAAAAATTCCTTCCTGGTCATGTCGTCCAATTAGTCGACGGCGTCAGCGTCGAGATTTTAGCATCCCACGCCACGTTACCTCCCCCGATTACCTCTATGGATTGAGGTCAAGGCATCCTGCATGCCGAACGTCATGCAACGGTAACGGTCATCCTGAAATGCCATCAATTTTCGCATTTCCCCCGTTGACCCGCCCCCTTGGTGTACGCAGCATTGACGTGGAATTTCAAGTAGAAGTTGTTCCACGCATTTTCCCACTTGTCGGTCCCGGTAACGCCGCAAAGCTTTTCTTCTGTACGATTCGGTTGGTTTTTATAAAATGTTGTGACTAACCATACATATGCCCGGTGCAATGGTCAAAGTTGTCGTTTTCCAAGGGCCACACATCATACTCCTTCAGTTCGAGCATGTATGTCTCGTCGCCCTAAAATCGAAAGCCTCGTTAGAAATTGACGGTCGTCATTTCCTGGCTATGGATGCGCAGCAAGTCCCAATCCCCGACAAAACGAGCCTATGCCCTACTAATTTGAGCATTTTTGCCCCTAGAAAGCGCTGTAACTTCTTCAAAATACAGAAAAACAAATTTTGAAGACAGAATTGGGATCAGCGCAAAATTCTGTACGAGGTAGATTTGGACTTGCTCAAAACTGGAATGTCATCCGAAAAACGTAGCCGTCTTTTCCTTTCATCTCCGATTCGTCAACCCACCGGAACGCGCTGATGCCCAGCTTCATAGCTGGCATTAAGGACTTGGAAAGAAAACGAGAACGAAAACGTCATACACGGCAGGGGGCCCGCCGCCAAGAAAAGTAGGATAAGAATCAAAACCATGAGCCACGGTCTGATGGACGCAAGGTTCGCGCTGTTTTTAAATGCTGGGCTGCTTGAGCATGCGAGGAAATATCCAGTCGCGGACGAATGGCATTGACTGACAATAGGGAAAGAGAGAGAGAAAGAGAGAGAGAGAGAGAGAGAGAGAGAGACAGACAGACAGACACCTCCAGCACATGCTGGAGGTCCTCGTACAAGCCTTGTTGCAGGAGGTCCGCAGATTCCACCCCCCATATATTATACCAGATGGGGTTTTTTTGTTTAAAAAGGGTTTGTGTGTCTGTGTGCGTATGTGTGTGTGCGTGCGTGTCTAGGTGTTGAATGATTTCGTTATGGTTTTAGCGCAGAAGGCAGGAGGGGCGAAACGACGACGAGGAGGAGGAGGACAAGGACTTCTGATTAGGTGAGTACAAAACTCGTCTTTATCTCTCTTTCGCTCTAGCTCTCTCTCTCTCTGTCTCTCTCTTTCTCTCTAGCTCTCTCTCTCTCTCTCTCTGTCTCTCTCTTTCTCTCTAGCTCTCTCTCTGTCTCTCTCTGTCTTTCGCTCTCTCTGTCTCTCTCTTTCTCTCTCACTCTCTCTCTGTCTTTAGCTCTTTCTCTCTCTGTGTCTTTCTCTTTCTCTCTCACTCTATCTCTGTCTTTCGCTCTCTCTCTCTCTCTCTCTCTCTCTCTCTCTCTCTTCGAGTGTCCCTTCACAGCAGGCTTTCTGGTTTGACGAGGCAAATACGGTTCTTACAGCGTCCTCGACCCCGTCCACGAAGACCGGCCGTAAATTAACCCGGGATTTCCCCTTTGTTGGCCTTAATGTTGAGAATCAAAAAATGTAATAGTCTCTCGGTGTCCACGTTAAAGGGATACCCAATGTTTTGGCGGCAAATATATAGTTATGTATTCCGGGGAGTACAAATGACGCGCGAATTTTGTGCGGTAATGGATGCCCATTGCCGCACAGCATTCGGCCTCCTCTCCCCCTTGTAGCGTCCCCATCTCGACCAGTGGCTTGCCACTATGGCCTAATGGATAGCATCCAGGTCTTGAAAGCGGGGGTCCCGGGTTCGACCCCCGCCCGCGTCATGGTTTTTGCTTTTTGAGCCCCGAAAAGGTTGGGTATCCCTTTAAAGGACGGAGAAGATTCAAAAGATTTTGCTTTCTCTCTCTCTTTCTTTCTTTCTCTCGCCCCTCTCTCTTTCTATCTCTCTCTCTATCTCTCTCTCTCTCTCTCTCTCCATCTCCCTCTCTCTCTCTCCATCTCCCTCTCTCTCTCTGTGTCCCTCTCTCACTTTCCACTTGGATTCCGACCCACTTAATCGCAATGCCCTAATTCATGGAGCATATTTATTCCGGAATCACAGGGCCCGGGAAATGGAAATTGGATCTTTTATTTCAACCGACAGAAAAATTCCGTGGGACCCAAAAAACATCAGTACCATGAGGAAAAATCACCATACAAACAGCCAAGAAAAAAACATAGAAAATCGCGAGGATTCAGGCACATTATGGGAGGTGGTGGGAGACAACGGATGCTACGGGAGGCGTCAAATTCCGCCAGGGAATCACAAAAACGACACACCAGATCTCGCGTTTTTAATATTGTTTAAAGGTTGTTGCTAGAATGGGGCGCCAGGGATGAATTGGATTGTTAGGGCTAATGGTCAATGCCAAATTGATCGGATTTGGTCGAATGATCAACAACAAGGCTCAAAGATGGCATTCAAGGGGTGGCCACGGCGTAGGCCTTCCAGGGCTCGCGCTGCAGGATCGTGCTCGTCACCGTGGCCCACCAGCTATCCGCCTTTCCGATCAGCTCCCTCAAAATGGCCTCCTGTAAAAGCGACATTAGCCCAAATCTCTCGGCATTCACCTACCAAGTCAACGATGCGGCCGACTTTCTCGACGTCGGCGACTCCCCAGGATCGCATCAGGTGGAAACGGGCCAGCTCCTCCCTGCTGCGCAGCTTCTCGTCCTAAATTTTTTGTCACTTTCTATACGAAAGAAAAGAGGAAAATAAATCGGTTATAGGATTTCTCCCCATCACCCCGCCTAGAGTCTGGAGTGAAAGACTTTTTTGGATAGACCGAAAAATCCAAGCTCCAACTCACAAAAATTGAACACCTTTAGCGGTCTGGAGGAAGGTCGTATCGGAATTGTTTTTACACCTCCGAAAGCACTTGAAAAGGCGGTAAAACAAGCGCTTGGTTTTACAAGAATTTTAAGCCCACGCTCGATATTAAAAGATTTCTTAAAAAGTGAAAAACAGCGTCATATTTTGGTCCTGAAACCAAAATCGAAGGCTTTTGCGGCACGTTAGAGAGCGCCGATTTTTTTGGGGACATCCTGTACACAAGATCTTTTTATATTATTATTTTATACTTTTAAAGACTATTACGTTTATCAGCCCTACCCCGAACAGCTTTGCCTCTGGGCCTCGAGGCGCCCCGCCGTGGGTTGCCATTTCTTCAGGCTGTCTTTAACCCTAAAACACATTTTCAGGAAGCGTATTGGGTAACTGGAAATTAGATATTTCAAATCTCCCCACCGGTCGACGACCTCTGTGGCGGCCGGCAGCCCTGCTTCCGAAGTCCACGCCACGACGAGGCATTCGGGGTAGAATTTGTCGCCCACTTCCACCTCGAGGTCCTTGAGCTTGGTCTCTGAAAATTTGGTGCTCGATCTTTTCAATTAAATGCAAGATCGATCGTCTTGGTATGATTTGGATTTCGCAAGATTAAGATGGTAAAGACCGATATAATTGGTCAAGATCGATAAATTTTGCGTCGTATTTCGGGGTTTTAGTCAGTCAAAAAAATGTAATTCTTATTTCACAATCTTGTCTTCGGAAATGTAAAATTAGAAGTCTTCGGAAAATTTCATACGGTTCATACGAAAATTTATGCCTTCAAGCAAGCTAAATTCACTTTACCGTCCTGCAGCCATTTTTGCAGCTCGCGGCACAGGAGCTTGACCGCCTCGCGCTCGGCTGGGTAGTCGATGTCGGGAAGCCGCCTAGAACAAAACGGTAAAACATGATGTTACAATGTCATACCAGCACAACAGCACGACGCAGCCCTTCTTACCCTTGACAAGCACAACGCGGATCGGGTCATCTTCAGGCGCATGGTGCGACCCGAAGTCGACGCGGTGCGAGACCGTCTTGGGGCCGAAACGATGTGCCTAGATAATCGTGATCATCTAGGTAATGTGCCTAGATAATGATGACTAGGTGATCGAGCCTACCGGATGGGGGAAAAAAGAGTTAATGCAGAAAGTTGCCAGAAAATAGCTTTAGTGGTGAGCCTGATCCTTTGTGATACCTATCATTAGGATTTTTTTTATTCAATAAAATGAAAATTTTTTACTTTCGTGTTTGACTTACCGCCAAAACAGCCATCAGCAGTTTCCCCGGATTGCTGGGGCCATCGACGAGCAGCCAGCTGTTGGCGGGCTTCACATAATTCTCGAGCCACTCCTCGACCTAAAACCAAATATAGCTGTGTATTGAAAAAATTATTTACGTGCCAATACTCCAGTATATCCCGAGATACCTACGTCGCGGACAAAGACCGGGGTGGAGCGAAGGGTTTCGGCGTCGCTCCCATCAGCGGAATGGGCGAGTTCTGGAGCCGCCGGGTGGATGTACTTCACCAGCTGCCTAGAAAGGAGGACATCATTTTATACAGAGTAGCTTACGCTACAGAAGTAATTATTTGCGTACCTGAAAGCCTGGTGCGTGCTGGGCTCAGGTCCACGCATCTTGAGCCACAAGAAATGGGCTCCCAGCTCGCGCAGTCGGCCATTCGCCATCATCTCCTGGCCGTAGATTTCGATGATAACGTCAGCACGCAAATCCTCGCGGACGCGCTCGACACCCGGCAGACGGAAGAGCCATTCGGAATATGGGGCAAAGAAGTCGTCGAACGGCTCTTCCTTCGAAAACAGCTGAAATGTACATTTAGCGAAATTCGGGCAAATATGAGAGACGAAACCGGCGCCTAACGCGAATCAGGGCGAGAACTTCCACCTATGAAAGCACGGTAAAGTCGCAATACCTTCCTCGTGCTGATCGTCACAGTTGCGGCTGAGGTCTCGTGCTTGACTGCCTTGGCCCAGGCGCTAAACAACATGCAATGTATGGCTGGACTTTAATTTACCCTCCTCCCGAGCCGAAAGTTGCGCAAATTTTTCGACATTACAGCTATTTTTGGTCACGCCATTCGATAGAGCATCAACAAATCTACTACGAGTTTGAATTACCGCCCAAAATATATTGAAAGAGAGTAGATCTTATACGATTAAGCATTTGGGAAATGTTGGCAAACTCAACAGGGGCTGAAGTAAGCGAGATAAGCGCGTTTAAAGAGGTGGATTTATCGTTTTTCCAGATACTGTAGATAGGAAATACGTGCTGCTAAAAAGCATACCTCGCGAGCCACAGGTCCATCTCGCCTCGAGCGGATGGTTTTTGGGCTCCGATGCACACCAGGCCGGCGGCGGCGAGGGGAAGGCCCCGCTGGCACTCGGCCTTTCCGACTAAACACGTATTGTATTATGACGCCCCTTAAAACGATGAATAAAAACCTCTTTAAATAAAAACTAAATGGTTCGAACGTGCCGGGACCGGTCAACACGAGAACTTCTTTTTCTACTTCCGTTTTCAAAAAAAGTGAAAAGAGCCAAATTTTAAGAGATAGAACAAACTTTCTGGAACTTGCTGCATTTTTCTTGAAAGCCACCGGCTCTACCCTTCGTAAAAAACTTGCAAAAATTGGCTTCCCTGGAAGTTTTTGGCCCAATGTAAACAAACATAGTTTCTAAGTTTTGGAAGTCCGCTACCCAGCAAAAATTTGAAAGCTAACTAGCCCAGATAAAAATTCTGGACAAGGTACGATAAGTCTCATTCGAACTCTTTCTAGAGTCTGCCAAATAGATAAAAAATTGACTAGGAACACTATTGTACATATCTTTTCTTGCTAGGTTCAAACATATACCGAGGACGAGGGAGATGTCGATGAACGGCTTCCTCCTTTCCAACTGGTAGGCGTTGAGGCCACTGATGAGGCCCTCGAAGCGCAGCAGCTAAAAAGGATTTTGAGTAGGTCCTCGATGAATCTGGTTATAACTAGGACCCTTACTATGGAGCAACCGATCACGATTAAGCCGAAAAATAGCCCCAACCGTTTCACCCAAAGTTAATTCCAAACGCCCTACCTTCTCCCCGTTGCCGAAGGTGTATTCGCTGCAGGCGAATTCTTCGGTCCTTCCCTCGAGGAAGCGACTAACGTTGGCCTGTTCGCCGGCTTCTTTGCTTTCATCTGCTTTCATTCCAATCATTTTGGCCTGAAAAACGGCACTAAGTACGGACAAAAACCTAAATTTGAGGATGAGCCGAACCAAAACATAAAAACTATACCAAAAACTATGATTCCGTTAAATGAAGGATCTAAAGGAAGGAAGTTAAAGGAAGGAGAGCGAAATAGATCTGTGCTAGTTTATAAATGGCAACGAGCAAACCGGAAATGCAGATAAAAAAATGGGCAGAGAGATTCATGCTAATTTTAAACTAAACCCCAGTTTGATGCTAATTCACCTGGGCCTTCCTGATCCCTCTAAAGAGGGAGAGAGAGAGAGAGAAAGAGAGAGAGAGAGAGAGAGAGAGAGAGAGAGAGAAAAGCTTTTTACAATGCAATATTTCGCCGGCAATCTGATGTATTAGTATCGAACGCGTGATTACGTCAATTTTCTACACTTTTAAAGCTTTTATGTAAATCAAATAATTCTAATGCTATGGGACTACTCCAGACCGCAAAAACACGAGCCCTTTGGGGGCGATCTGTTGCTTGAATAAGTGAGCATGACCTTAGAAGCCGCGGGCGCGACGGGGCGGCGAGACGCGCGACTGTATTGATTTGGTACTGTGGACCCCGTGGAAAAATCATCCTCAGCCAGGAGAGACATTTCGAATGTATGGCGCAGCTGTGGTGATGACTAATAAAATGAAGGCATTGTCTGAATATGTTCAAGTGGTGGAAGAAGTCGGCTCAAGAACTAGCTATAATAAAATAATTTTTGCAATGCTTGCAAAATACCACAGCTGGCGAGTGTGAAGAGATTCACGGCATTTTTGAGGTTTTCTTAAAAGGTTTTGCACCTAATTTTTTTTATACAGCTCCAGAAATGTCTGGCGTCATATAGCAGCTTTTTAAGGTTTACGAATTGTCAGTGATCATGGTGGATGGCATTCGGTGATCCTTTGCCCCCACCCTTCCACGACAGATTTCACACCCCTTCCTTTCTGTCACCAGACGCAACCTACACGATCGTTGACGTCTGGCCCCGCAAGCTGGTCTGCCCCTGTCTGGCGATGGTAGCTTTGGAGGGGAACTATTAATCGCCTCCATAATCTTTTACATCTCGAGGAAAACTGATCGAAATTAATCAAAAGGAAATAAAAAGAATTACGGATGCTGAGGGAAAGAGTGGAGCAAATGAGTCACTGCAAAATCAGCATTTTAGCTGGAATCGATTACTGAGAGGGTGCGGGTGGCATAGACGATGAAAAACATGGGAAGGGTGGGGGCCGCGCGTTGGCAAAATAGGTATTGCCATCTCATACGCCCCTCCCCTGTGGAAGGGCTATCAATCGGAATGACTCATGATTAGCTGCATATCATATTTGAAAATTTAGAAAAATTTCAGGAAAAATGGCAGCATGCTGGGAATTCACCTGAATTTATCAGTGTGCCCGAAAAAACAAGTGCCCCGGTTTGTTTCCTGGGATTTCATCTGATCCCATCGATTTTAAGGTTTTCCTAAAAAACCGGGAATTTTTCATCAGGAATTTCGCAATTAACATGCAGATCGTGTAAAAATCAGCAGTTTTCATGTTTTTTGGACATAAATGTCGTGAATAAAAATGCTTAATTAAGAAAATGAACCCTCCTTGTTTTCTCGCCTTTTCGAGAGCTTTCGATACATACCTAAATTATAAAAATCGGAATTGACTGCGGACCGCTAGGTGGGGGTTGGGACACCCTGTATTGACTTGATACCGTAGTGTAATTTTGCCGTCGCCGTTAAAAAAGTGTTACAAACATTTATTTGGCCCACCATGCCACCTTCTGCATTTTCAGGGCACCACGGGTTGATTTAGGCAACGGCCAGAAATTCGCTTGGAATCTTAATTGGGCCTGAAGATGGTCAGGAAAGCGAGGTGAGTAGTCGGAAAGTTCCGGAATTTGTTGTTGCCGTGCACATCGTATCGTTTTTTGAGTTTGCGTGACGTAATTTATCGTGTCTTCAAGTGGTAAAACTAGTAGCAAACGTTTATTCACATCAAATCACACCCGAAGAAGCGGATGCGACCAATTATTAGGGGTATTCAATGGGATTTTCTTCATAGAACGACGTTGACTGTTGGGAGTGCACGGCATGAGGGTGGAGGTTCCTAAAAAAAAAAAATATCTTAGACCATGGATTTTTTTTTGGCCTTACCTTCAATTTCTCCATTGCCCAAGCGTGTGCTGCCCCAGGCGACTCGTCCAAAACGCCGCCATTTTCAGCGACGCATCCGGGGAATTTTCGCGGATTCGGTGGACCTGAAAATGGTTTGTTTTACTGGACTGTTAGCGGGGGGGGGCTGGCCTTGGTATCAGAACCGGTAAGACCCCAGTAGCGTCCATTTAAAGTGTCTTTAACAGTGTTCTGATTTTCCTAGCAACCAAAACTACGACCAATGCCCCTCGCCCGCTAACAGCACAGTCCCTATTTGTTAATAATTTTTCGATACCTTTCAGTTTACCGAAAATGAGTCCTTTGCAATTTTCCTCAGTTCTCACCTGCATCATTTCCTCCGAATTTGTCGCGGCGGGGACCAGCGACTCGTAGAAGTTCTTGTAGAGCCCACGGTGCTGGCCGAGCCTGCAAATGCTGCATAAAATTGTAAAGATTTTGAGGCGTTTAAAGGAACCGGAAAGACAAGGCTATGGATCCCCGAGGCTATGGATTCCAGCTGCGTTTCTATTTCTCTTTCTACATGCTTTTCGAGTTCGCTATGGCTTTTGGATGTCGGCATTATCGCCTTTTCCGCCAGAATACCGACGTTAAAGAGGCCGAAACAAAACGTCGATAGTCGAAAGCACGAAAGCAATCCGTTAGGTGGCTGGTCGGCATTTCGCGTGTCGACGTTTAGGCTGTCGGCATTTCTGCTGTTTTCCCGCTGGTCTGTCGTGTTCCGGTGGGGTCTGTCGTGTTCCAGTTCAAGCGCCGATTTCTGCGTTTTTAGGAGCCCTTTAGGAGCCCAAAACTTGTATATATGCTCTAACACCTCAAATTCACGCCAATCTAGTCAAAACTAATCAGAATGAAGTTTTAATCTGAAGGCGACACCAGCTGAACTTCTCCAACACGCGGCAAGGCCCAAAATACTCTTTTTAGGGACTATCGACTCGATTTTCCTACTTTTCGTAGATCTCCGGTCCGTGGTGCTCCAGAAACTCGAGTAGACGGCCTCGGATTCGTCTATTTTTGGAGAGTAAGCGAAGAATATTGGTGTCCCGACTCGACGTGTTGTTGTTCATGAAGTCGCGGATGAAGCTGAAAAAGCCTACTGTAATACTTTGTCCCATTTACCGTAGCCCATACTGCCAATCGCCCGAGTGTCCGTACAGCAGATCGGCGAGCTGGGCCGCGTATTCTGGGTCATCTGAAAAAAATAGAGTGGCTTTTCAAGTTTGTATCTTTGATTGAATTCTTTAAGGGTTTTTTTTAATCGAATTCAAAGACTATTTTTGACCTTCAATCTGGTAGAGCTGGTGGATGAGCCGGGACTTCGCGTAGGGGTCGACTTCCTGGGCGAGCAGTCGGGAGTAGACGGGTTGATTGGCGGTGAAATTTCTGAAAAGAGTCAAATGCTCTTTCGCTTTCCCTCGCTTTCTCTCTGCATCTCTCTCGCTCACTCTCGCTCTCTCTCTCTCTCTCTCTCTCTCTCTCTCTCCGCTCTGCTCAAAACATCACCTAGCACATTGGCTGGCCGGCCGCAGACTGTTCTTAACCTGAGGCAGGCACGGCTCGATAAAGTACTCATGGAATTCAAGCCTGGAAGTTCGTCCCATATCCGGCTGTATGGGCCAAATTAGGTCCGCTATCCCGCTACCCACTCATCGGGCGTCATCTCCACGGTGCGGCCGGTTCGGTTGGCGGGTTTGAGGGCTTCGAACGCTTTGGCGGGGTCGTCGTGTCCGGAGATTATCTCTGCGCCCGGTGGGCGTGTCGTACCAGTCGTGTTCGGCATCGTCGGCGCTACCGTGACAGGCTTGGGACCGTTGGCTTCCTTCACTGAAACGAGAAAATCTGACTTTCAAAATTTTACGGAAAAAGTGGTTCGGGTTCTTTAGGGGGGTATACTTATACACGCCACACCCCCCGCTAACGAACCAGAACCGAAAACGTAACAACCGGAATTCACCTACATGCGGATTTGAATAATAGCAAAGCGAAGGGGACGATGTTCAGGAGGCCCCAGATGATGCATCTGCAATTTTGGCTTAATGTAATCTGGAATGAGTTGGAATCGTTAGGTTTTTGAGCCTGCGCCTACCGGGGAGTGCTTTTTGAGTCATCGGTAAAACCTTACAAGGCCTAGCTCATTCGATAGAGAATTCGATTCTGATAAAGCCCCGTTGTCTTTTTTTTGCGGAATCGTTATTCCTGATTTTATAAAATTTTCAAGCTGCACTCGAAAGCCTCTCTTTCGCTCGAAGGACACTCATGGTAAGGGACAACCACTAGTTTCTGAATTTTAAAAAATCAGGAATAGCCATTCCGCAAAAAAGGCTAACGGGGTCTTGTTCAGAATCTAATTCTTTATCGAATGAGCTAGGTCTTGTAAGGTTTTGCCGATGACTCAAAAAAAGCACTTCTTTAGTAAAGCCTGCGCCAGTAAGACTCAGATAACCCCCCCTCCCCAGCCGGCACCCATTTTGTGTATCGGCTCCTATTGATCTACAGGTGTGTAAAGTATACCAAAATGTTCGTCTTGCTGTTCGAGTATTTTGGTGATAACTGTACAACACCTGTGGAGAACTAGAGGAGCCGAGATACTGCAGGTGGGGTTCGGCTGGGGGGGGTTATCTGGAGTTTAGCCCCTGCGCCTAAGCCGAAGCCCAAGCCATAGCATGAACCTAGGCCTAAGCCACAGCCGAAGCCTTGACTTAAGCCGAAGTTTGACTTAGGCCGAAGCCCAATCCCAAGTTGAAGCTTAGCCTAAACCCCGGCCTAAACCTGAAGCGCAATACCAAACCGACGTCTAAGCTTGTCCAAAGCTGCAATCTGAAATCAATGCCGAGTAAATTTCTTAGTAAATTTATCGTAAATTCCAACTTTTTTTCAAAACGCCGCCCCTCTTTTCGTTCGGCCTCCCATTCGGCTTGCTCTCGCTTCTCCCTATCGGCGGCCTCGTCCTCGGTGGAACGGTAGCGCCCACCGTACTGCTCGGGGCCCGAGCTGGAAACCGCGAGTTGAGGTCGACGCTTGAAGAGGTTCTGGACTGTTAGCGGGGGGGGGGGGGTAACGCCCCGATATGCTCCCTCGCTAACGAACCAAAACCAGCGGATCGATTCTGAACGCTACACACCGAACCACGGCCGCACGACGCGAGGACGACGACATGGAGTGTGGAATTATATTTCGGCGCGTTATGCAAGAAAAAGATGTGGTATTTGGATGCAATTTCGGCACAAGTTAGCTGAACCACATCTACCGTGTTTATTATTTACGGCATTTACGGTATTGACAGTATTGACCTACAGTATTTGCAGCTCCCTCCTACGAAAGTGCCGGGTTTCTCAAAAAATATTCGCCTTGGTCGAAAACCTATGGAAAAAATGGCAAGATATTTTTTTGCGGAACTAAAGGCTGAGAAGATTCAGGAGTTAAAGTTGGGGCTACACGAGTTTCAATCTAAAATAAAATCTATTTTTCGCCATGACTAAAGTATGGGGGCGTAGTTTTTGAACGATGACAGAGGCCATAATTTCATCCTAAGGCTGAGCCCCAGCCTGAGCCTAACCTCTAAGGCTAAGTTTAAGTTTTAGCCTCAGCCTAGCCTAAGCCTAGCTTGCATAGATTTGCAAGTTGGCTTTGCTCTCATGGGCGCGCAGCAGTCACGGGTCGACTCTGGCGCTTCACGGTCAGTTCAAATGTAGCTTCTGAGAAGCCCTTTTTTGGAAGCGAGTTGCCAGATTTTCGCTTGTGACGTAGCTTTCGGCACCATGTCGTCAGAAGGGTAGGTTTTTGGTGCTTGCTGGGCCCGTTAAAAACGCAGCCAAGGAAAATTTAGAACAGATTTCTATGAAGCTTTATGAGGCTGCCACGCGGTTGGTCTTAAAAAAAAAATTTGCTGAGAAGTCGGCGTCTTTTTTGCACATCACGTCACTGCAACGTACCTTTCAACGAGATCAAAATATTCCTTAGTTTCGCCACCCCCGCCTTCACTTTTCGATGCAAATCAAGGGCCATTGGGAGGAGCCAATGGCCTGCCTGGCATTGCTATATGAAATCGGAGCCGCTGCGTCTGTCTCTCCAAGCCATATCCACCCCCGGCCTCCAATCCTCATTTCCCCCCCTTGCCCACTCTGATCATACAAATTCCATTTTTGGATGAAGAGTAGCCAGCGTAGTGCCTCTAACGTCTGGATTACTTTGTTTCATGTCTTGTTAAACGGAAAATGACGCGTGGGAGAGTGTTTTATAGCTTTCAGAGTTTTACAGAATCGATTGTTTTACAGAAAATTAATTTCAGAATTGTAAAAGCTTAAAATACCGACAAGATCAAAATCGCGACATCCAAATCAACCAACATCCAAAAATACTGCCAACACACTAATTAGGGCCATGTATGTCGATAGTTTTCAGTTTGTTCTGTACTGAATGGCGGGTTTAACCGATTTGCAGCTAGTCGGGATTTGTCGGTATTGCCGGTATGCACCTTTGATTAATTGATACCTTATCACTTTTGAAGAAGTTTTTATGAAAATTCATTAACTTCATTTAGTGAGTCCTTGAAAACGGCACGGCATCGAGATTCTCATCCTAGTTTTAATCCAGTCTTTATTATTTGACCAAAATTTAAAGGTGTCAATAAGGCTGTTTTGCCAAATAGATATCCTACTATATATAAAAAAATAGTGTCTGTGTGTTTGTGTGTATGTGTGTGCCACTTTGCATGCAACTTCCGTCAGGGTGTCCGGAGGATGTCTCGAGAGGGAAAGGGTTTGAGCTAGTATGGTACGTCATTAGGTGCGTAATGGCGCTGAGATGCCTGCACACACATCAGATTTTGCAAATTATGCTATTTTCGACGTTAAAATTAAGTTTTTGTTAGAAAATGGAGCACCCACTTTGTTAGGAATCAATTAGCATATAAGTGCCGGAAATGGCGCGAGTCTCATATAATGGGCGGAGGGAGAAATTTTCATTTTTTGTCATCGGAATTCGCGAGAGTTTGTAAAATGAAGCATATAGTGACGCTAGAAGGGGGCCAGGGGTTGAAGGGCGCGAAGCGGGCTTTCAACCCTGGCTATATTGGATATAAAAAATAGTGTTTGTGTGTGTGTGTGTGTGTGTGTGTGTGTGTGTTGGCGTTGTGTGTGTGTGTGTGTGTGTGTGTGTGTGTGTGTGGTGTGTGTGTGTGTGTGTGTGTGTGTGTGTGTGTGTGTGTGTGTGTGTGTGTGTGTGTGTGTGTGTGTGTGTGTGTGTGTGTGTGTGTGTGTGTGTGTGTGTGTGTGTGTGTGTGTGTGTGTGTGTGTGTGTGTGTGTGTGTGTGTGTGTGTGTGTGTGTGTGTGTGTGTGTGTGTGTGTGTGTGTGTGTGTGTGTGTGTGTGTGTGTGTGTGTGTGTGTGTGTGTGTGTGTGTGTGTGTGTGTGTGTGTGTGTGTGTGTGTGTGTGTGTGTGTGTGTGTGTGTGTGTGTGTGTGTGATACTTTACGCCGCAGCACCTTCCGTCACCATGTCCGGAGGATATCTCGATAGGGAATAAATTTTAAGGTAAATATAATTACATCATTAGATGCGTAATGGCCTCTGGGATGACTGCACCTTATCAGATTTTACAAAGTAATTGTTTAATTATTTAGGCTGGTTTTTGTAAAAATTTCGGACACCCTCTTTGTTGGGAAACAATTAGCATGCACCCCGGAAGTGGGAAGCCTATATAATCCGGTAGAGGATGTCATTTTTCATTTTCTCTCTTCCCGGGATACGAGGGCGCGTATGCAGAAGAAGAATATTGTAAAAGGGGATAGACCAGGTTGGGGGTGAAAAGTCCGCGAAGCGGCTTTTCCAACCCTGATTCAAGCAATAAAAAAATGGAATAAAAGATGGTATTTGCTCAGAAGGTCGACGTCCGGGATTGTTTTTATGAAGAAGTACCGTAATCTCTGATTTTTGTGTCCTTCCAGGAACTGTAGTTTGAAACTTACCTAAAATGCGTGATGCTATTTTAACACGCAATGAGCCCTAGCGGCACTTAATTTTCAGGTCAACACATCATAGTTGCCTAGAAGTGGATAGCTTTTGCGCCCCGGGCTAACCCGAAATTATGCCCACTTCACCCCCGCTCTCAGCTTCATTAGAGTTTGCAGGAAAACTCCAAAAACATTTAGAAGTCACGTTTTCTGAAGTTCAAAACCGAAATAATACTCTTTCAGAGATCTGTCAGCCCAATATTAGTCATTTATTTAACCGAAGCTTTTTCTATCTTGAACCCTAGAAGATAGTATGGAAATGAGGGCTGGTATTAGTGGCATAAAAATTCGAAGTGTCGGGATTTTGCCTTTTGACTCGAAGCATCGATTATCCCACTTGCCGATCCCTTCAAAACCCAAAATCTCAAAGATCTAGCTTCAGCCTGCACCCATATTGGTTCAAAGACCACCCGACAAACCCGTAAAATTTCGCCGCCTCCAAATGCCGCAAACGTAATATCCATTTTCGTATCCCCCGACCCATATCATCATCTTCAATATGATGCTATGACGACCCTTCTACCCGGGGGTGTCGATAGGATTCTCGAGGACTACTAAGAGGGGCCCAGAAAAGGGCATGGGCCTTTCTAGACCCCTTAAACTGCCTCCCGGGCCTTAAGGATGATGGATTCAAGGGGGGTTTAGGCAAG